ATAAATATAACTATAAATATACATATGTAAATATATGTAACATATATGATATATATAATGTATGTACATATACAGTATATATTATATAAAATATATATAGTATATATAATAAAAATATATATAGTGTTAGTATATGTATTATATGTATACATGTCTATATTTGTATATATATGTATGTATATATTATATTTTTTACATGATTAATATATTATTGTTGATGTTTAGTTGTTACTGTTAAGATTCTTATTATTATTGCCCAAAGCACACCATATTTGAACTGGTAATGGGGTTGTCACTGACAAGTTAACTTGCTGATTAGCTAGCTATACCTCTTCAATAAGTAAGTTTGATTTTACTGAATAGCTGGGCTGGCAACAAGACTCCATCATATTGTTAGATAGGCTTATGCCACACAACTTTTTTTAAAACTTGCTGCTCCCTAGAAGGTTGATTTTAATTTCTACTAGATTTTTAATCAATTTATATATCAAAAGCACTAAGAGCTTCTAAATTATTCCTTCATAGACACACACAAAAGCAGGCGTATCAGGAGGATGAGCCAGCACCTCCATCTGTTGAACCAAGTACATCTTCATATCCTCTTGCTCCAGTTACATCCTCTGTACCAGCTGCCCCACATTTGTCACAGGAAGAACTGGGCACTGGAATTACTCCAGATGAAATTAACAATGGGAAAATACTAGCAAGACCAGCAGAATCTTATCCACTGGCACCACCTGCACAACCTTTAGGTTTTCAGAGCCCTGCCAACTCTCAGTACCCATCATCACAGGGTTCTCCTTCTAATGCATATAATGATGCCTATTTAGCTAATGTTTCTGGAGATCCCTCAGCCCCATCATGTCCTCCCAGTCTCCCTCCACCATATTCAGCCACTACATATAATCCACCATATGCACCTTCATCCTCACCTCCTCCATATCCTGCTGACACACCTTCACATCCTCCCCCATCCATGCCTCCTTCATCATCTTCAGCCCCATATCCTCTTAATCCATAAATGATGCCACAACTTATTTCTCAGTTCTTTAAGTGCAGTGAAAATTAATTTTTAAGCACAATGGTAACAAGACACTGGATCACATAGCCCTCTATATCGGAAGAACCATTTACAAGAACTAGGAATAACAGAGTTGCGTTTTCTCTTTTCATTCTGTTGTCTTTCATGTTTTGGGGACTATTTTTTTACTTGCTGCTAAACCAACTACTTGAAGTGATTGGCTCAGAATAAAATTTTCCAGTGAATTACATTAATACAGAACAGAATATAAAATTTTTAGAGTTTAGATATAATGAGTTAAGTGCTTGAGGAATTACTATACAAGCCAAACAGAAATAGGTGCAAGTTCTCTGTGAAGAAGATAATTTCCAAATGTATGAATTTCAGTGATAGTGACACATGAGTTGTTTTCTCTTTTTCAAAGTTCTAGATTAAAGCTATTTTGATATTTTGATTTTTATATCAGAACTGGAAACAAAAACTGCATCTTTGTCATTTCAACCCTTGAGTCAGACTTGATTGTTTTTTTTTTTTGTCAGATCTTGAGCTTGATCTCCATGACACAACAAGCATACTTGGCTGTAGTTAAGCCAAGTCTGGCTCTGTCTTGAGGTATATTCAAGCTGAAATATGGGATCAGATACAAATAAAGATGTCTGCCTCATTATATTGCTGTCCTATGGACTTAAATATGAAAGGGCAAAAATAGATGAAAAGTCAATAGAATTGATACTTGATATTCTTGATAACTCCATTTCGGACTAGAACTGTGAAATTGCAGCAGTACATAATCAGCAGGTGAACATTGTGTTGGGCTTGGAAGAGAAGTGGAATGACTAGGCTAATATAAATTCATCATGGTTATCAGACACTGTTATATATATGTGACATAAACATATGCAAGACCAATCAGTCTTGAGGTTAATTGCCTTAAGTGTGGCTTGATAAAATAATATCAAAGTTCATATAATCTTAGGAAAGAAAAAGTGGCATCACCCTGCATTCTGGAGTACTCCAATGTGCCAAGTCTGTTCTTTATTGTAATCATCTCACACTTAATTCTTATTTTACATGTTTAGTAGTTTTTAAACTTATGATTTATTTATATATATTTTATTTATATAAAAAAATCTGCTGTCAACATTATTTTTTTCTCCAGAGAACTGTCTTTAGACATGCCCAGTCTACCATGGTTTTATTGACTAAATTCTATTCACTCACAGAGAGCAACAGAAGTGCTTATTCAGTAATCTCATTTGGTGAAAATAATATTAGAAAGGAAATACAATAAATTCAAGGAATGTACCAGACATGTACCAGTGCATGTACCAGACATTAATGAGTTAATATACAAAAGTTGGTTTTGAGATTATAGGTAGAGTATTAGTGTCCATGCTGGAAACTGATAGTGAAGTGGAAATTTTGTGTAATAATCATTATTCATTAATAAAGAGAAAGATGCATGTACTGATGAGTCTGAGATGGAGAAAGAAGAGTTAATTGTATGTTTTATATAATATATTAGTAGTATTGATACTGTAAAACTTTGTAAAAGGCTTTTTATTCATTACATTAGGACAATAGCTAATGTCACTGGAAAAATAAATATACATTGATATAATAAATCAGTGTTTACATGTTTACATGTATACACTTCCTCCCCCTACATATATAAAGACAGGGATACATACACATACAATCATACTCACAAACATTTGTAGATTGTAACAAATCAGAAAATTATTTGCACTGTCAAGCATGCTGTGCACTCACTTAGCCAACTCGATCCTGCATGCTAGTAGGGTTGTCCAAGTGGCTGAATAAATGGTTGTTATGCAGTCACAAAATACAGTAGCCAGTATGTGGGTGGTAAGCCACAATCTGGTGTCAAACCAGCTGTTAGTTTCTGGTGGTTTATTTCAAGTAAGGGTAGTCTTTTGTTTTGCATGTCAGTATTGTCACAAAGTGGCTAATGACACTTACCACTCTTGCCCATCAGATTACCTGATAGTACTAACAGGGCTGAAGGAGGCATAATCTCTTTAATATATACTTCTTCCATATACATAACTCATTGTGTGCTGACTACAACATACCTGCATTTTCTCTTTTGGAGAAATATATTCCTCAGTTTTTAGATCTCAAAAAGAATTTACTACTTTTTTTTATAACTTTAATGATAACTTTTATCAGGAAAAAAGAAACCTCAGGTGGTTGATCATCTTACTGGCCTACCATTGCCATTGAATGCATATATACCATTTTAAAATCAGAAGAACTAGGTAGAAAAGGGTTTTCATATCACCAATTTGACCTTTTTTAACCCATTCGCGTCGGGCGTCACGTATAGGTGACGGGCCCACTGTGAGTTTACTTGTTTGATTGTTTACAAACATAGATGGCTCCACTTGCATTTGTACTGCCTGTCTCGTCTGTTTACCCTTTTCTTTAATTTACGAAATTATTTTGCGTTATCTTATTTTGTTGTTACTAATGTTTATAACATTATAGTAATTATAATGTTTATAATAAAAATAACCATCGATATTCATAGCAATAGTAAAAATACATTTTCCCGCCAAATTAAATCAGGTAAAGCAGAGCCATCTAGTGTAGAGAAATTTCATTAAAAACTATAAAAATTGAGCACAGCATTTCCCCCATTTTTTGTTCATTTTTACCCGGCGCGAATGGGTTAATATGACTCTTATATTATGTAGATGGCCAGAACATGTCCCAGAAGAGGACAAGCCAGATAAAAATGACATTACTATGCCTTCAAAATCCCTTTACACTCACAAGTACAGTTCATTTCATAATGAGAACTCATTTGTCAAATATGCCAATGCCTTGGCTGGGTGTGCCTCCCAGTGCCAAGTCCAGGCTAGACCATAGTTGATGTTTGCAATATATTAATTTAGGCAAGAGTGGCTTTGTAAAACTAAGGTCTTTCAGGGCCTTACCCACAAAAGGGAATCTGTGATTTAAAATTACATCACTAATGTTTTAAAGATGTATATTCATAGTTGTACATTAGGTGTTTCTGAACTACAGTGCTTCCATAAGTATTTTCATATTTTTACCTGTGAAGTGTTCAGAAAAATAAATGATATATTTTCTACATATTGTTTCTGTTTTTTATTCTAAACTTAATGTAAATATTTTATTATGAGATTTTTATATGAATATATGTACTCTGAATTTAAGTTGTTTTATATTTCCTTATCCCCCAATCCCATCCCCGTTTTTGCTGTAGGTGCTTTGGGAACAGAGACTAGGACTCTGTGCTTGGGATCACTCCTGTCTTGAGCCTCAGCCCTTGACTCAACTAATTTTGCATGGTCTTTTTCCTTTCTCCTTTTCAGTTCCCTCTCTTTTCCAACCCATTCTACTATCCATTTTCTAACATGTTAGACCCGTGTTAATAGGATGAAAGGCTGACTTTGTGCCAGTTATGAAAGGCCTGAAGGAGCCATGAACACAGTACTCATGTTTGGTTGTCTAGCCCTTATTATTAGGGGTAATGCATCTTACCCCTTTATCAAATAGCCCCACTGATTCAAATTCTGTGGGTTCCCCGACTTTAGGCTCTCCTTTGAACAAGACCTTAAACACTGCTACTACTACCTGCTCCTCAATGCAGACTACCATATCCAGTATGAAAGGCCTGAAGGAGCCATGAACACAGTACTCATGTTTGGTTTGTCTAGCCCTTATTATTAGGGGTAATGCATCTTACCCCTTTATCAAATAGCCCCACTGATTCAAATTCTGTGGGTTCCCCGACTTTAGGCTCTCCTTTGAACAAGACCTTAAACACTGCTACTACTACCTGCTCCTCAATGCAGACTACCATATCAGCCTAGTCCAAATCCACCCTCAAGGTCAATACTCAATCACCAGGAAATATTCCTCCTCACCTAACATCCTATACTTCCTCTCCACCCCCACACCTTTCTTCAACTACCCCATCCTCCCT